ACCCGGGAAGTAACTTCTTGTAGTCCCTACCTGCCGTTTTTGTAGGCATTAAACTGCCAGAATTTTAAAAGATGATATCTCCGTTTGCATTGAACTTTCCGCTTCGTAACTTTGCAGATATTGTTTATGCTCAAACAGCAACATTACACACTAACTAACGTTAAAAAAGTGAAATCGCAATCAACCACCCCTTTAATTTCTTTGCAAAACTCCAAACTTTTGAACGGTAATGTGAATCACATTCCAAATTAAAACACTCACCAGGAAGTGTGTACTCAGAGAGGGAATCCAGTCCTCCTGTGCTTAGTGATCCAGACCCCCCCTTCCCAGCAGTGTCTCTAGCTCCAGAGCTAAAGGAGCCAAGGGAGTCCATCGTCTGAGAAGAGGCTTCGCTTTGACCTAGAACTGAGGAGGACTCCAGTGGGCAGAGCGGACTGACAGCAGAGTTGAAATATGGAGTCATTAGCTGAGCAGAGGATGCTGGGAGACCTGGAGAATATGGAGGCCTCAAACCCACGGCAGTGTTTGGTAGGTTAGTAGGAATGGCCCCTTGAACTGGGTTCTGATGGATAGATAAGAAAATCAGTACTTTTATATTGATCACTCCAGTATTGAGCAACTATATCCCACTGTCCCTCCCCACAGCTCTCTATTTCACTCACCACACTGACCTCAGCTCCTTTAGGAATACTTTCCAGCAAGGTGTCCAGACATGAGGTGTCCTCATTCATCACACATTCACCCATGTGTTCAGATACAGGCACAGAGTACGGCACCCGCCCTGATGGCTCCTGGCTTGGGCTTTCTGGCATGTCTTGGGGCACAACTGGGCTCAGTGAGGGCATCTGTGGGTCATCACTTACTGGGATAGGTGTAGCCAGAGGAGCAGGGATGCACTGCGCACTTGTTAAATCTGTGGGATAAAGATAAGAACACTGAATCACCCAATTCATTTTTGCTTAATGAATATTCAATAATGTACTCATATTTTAATTAGATTTTTAAATACTATTATATATATTTTAAATACTATTATATATACCTGATCCAATATCAGTCAAAGACTCAAGACCATTTGATGAGGTCTGAAAAGAAAGAACAAGGAGGTTTGTTAATGTAATCCAAACCATGCAATTCTCAATTTACAAAATAGCTTTTATTTTATACAACAACTTTAGGACCAACAGAGGGAAGGTCTGGTTTTGTAAAACTTGCCTCCCCTGTAGGAGAATTCGTTTCTCCATTGCTGTCTGCTGCAGAGGTTGTAGAATCAAGCTGAAATACGAATGTGTGATATGTTGGGATGAGTACAATTATATAAACTGAATATTAGGGCTGCACGATAAATCGCATGCGATATTTAATGCGCATCTTGTCAGTAAAGCCGCTTCTGTAATCAGCGGTAAATCTCCATCACGTGCGTGCTTTCACATTGAGCAGCATTTACTACACAGAGCCGTTGTTCACAGGCAAGCTGCGCAAAACCACGTTCATAATCGCGCGATTTTTTTGCGCAGCTTGTCAGTGAACAACGGCTCTGTGTAGTAAATGCTGCTCAATGTGAAAGCCCGCACGTGATGGAGATTTACCGCTGATTACAGAAGCGGCTTTACTGACAAGATGCGCATTAAATATCGCATGCGATTTATCGTGCAGCCCTACTGAATATTTTAAATATTTTAACTTAACAACCTAAAAGACAAACCTGAGGGCTGATGTACGCTTTGCGGATTTTTAAACCAAGTTTGTTAGCTAGATCCTGAGCAAGCTCACTGACTTGCCGGTCCTGTGTAAAATAAATCAAGCAAACAACCAATGTTTTGTTAGTTAAGCATTACATGAACTGGCAAGACAAGTCATACAAATCTCTATGCATATAATATATCAAATTATATGAAGAGTTTGGTTCCAAAACGCTATAAATCCATTTTGATTAATTTGAGTAAAAATGTGTTTTCTTTACCAAGAAAGTGACGAGATGAAAACCACTATTTTCTGTTTCAAACTTTCTCATAGCATCTTTAGGTTATAATAACATTAAAAATTCAAATCCAGATTTTGATTTTCATATTTTTTTTTTATAAAAACGGATTGTTTTCCCCAAAAGTTATTTTTCATATTGAAACTGTTGAAAATACACAACAAAGTAAGTTGATCCACATATGACAGCCTCTGAACTTGGTCAATACTAATCTTATTAATAGCTTACGTTTCTTCCCTTCCGCAGAAACCACCACAGGTTCATCAATGCGGTCAAAATTATTCCTTTTTTTTAGGGCTGCACGATAAATCGCATGCGATTGTTATGCGCATCTCGTCAGTAAAGCCGGTTCTGTGATTAGTAGTAAATCTCCATCACATGCTTTCAGATGGAGCAGCATTTAATACACAGAGCCGTAGTTCACTGACAAGCTACGCAATATCGCGTTCATAATAGAAAGCGACTCATCTGCGTTTATGAACGAGATATTGCATAGCTTGTCAGTTACTGTTTGCAATGCGTGGAATGGTGCACTGTGATTGGTTGAGCCGATGTATCGCATTCTGCAGAGAAGGGAGACTGGCGTTTGTCGCGGTTTGGAAAGATAGGGAGAAAACAAGACAAAATAACATGGTGGATATCGCATTTTGCGTAAAATTAAAAATTGGCTTTTCAATACCGACCAGATACAATACTGATTTTGGCGGGAACTCAATTTTTTATTTTTTTTAAAATGCCGTTTATCGCGTTTTGGAACCAACCTCATCATATGTACTACCGTTCAAAAGTTTGGGGTCGATAAGATTTTTTAATGTTTTTGAGAGAAGTCTTGCTCAGTAAGGCTACATTTAATAAAAATACAATAAAAACAGTAATAGTGTAAAATATTATTACAATTTAAAATAACTTTTCTATTTTCATTCATTTTAAAATGCAGTTTATTCCTGTTATGCTAAATCTGAATTTCCAGCAGCCATTACTCTAGTTCTCAGTGTCACATAATCCTTCAGAAATCATTCTAATATGCTGATTTGGTTCTCAAGAAACATTTTGTATTATCATCAATGTTGAAAACAGTTATGCTGCTTAATATTTTTGTGGAAATCAAGATACATTTTATCCAGGATTCTCTGAATAGAAAGTTCAATAAAATAGTATTAATTTGAAAATGAAATTTTTTTGTAAAATTATAAATGTCTATACTGTCACTTTTGATGAATGAATCTTTGTTAAATAAAAGCATTAATAAAAATAAAAAAACTTTCTGACTTCAAACCTTTTAATGGTATGAATAGTAATACAAATTGCAGATTAATGTGCCATTCATTCGGCATATAAAAACATACATGAGGGGCAGTTAATAGGCATCCGGTGCCACACTCGTAAGCCTCTCTGAGTCTGCCCAGCTCCCTCAGACAAAGTGCCTTCCTGTAGAGTGCCCTGCGACTGCCCTCCGACACACACAGTGCACTATCACAGTCCTGCACGCCCCGCTCAAACTCCCCCTAAACATAAAATACAAGAGAAGTCGGATTTGCAGAAATTGTCTTTGCAACCAACTGTTGAATTACTACATAATTTGCACATACGGAATTCCAATTGACCAATAAAACTCTAACTTACCAGACTATAATGTGCAGCTGCCCGGTTCACATAAAGGCTCTCTAACAGCTCAGGGGGAATGACCAGTGCTTCAGACTGAGCATAGCGAGCTACATTCACACCCTCGCTGTAATGGACGGCTGCCTGTCTCCACTCTCCATCGCGATACACTGAGTTACCTTCATCCAGCAAATTACATACTAGCTGAGTCAGGAATGCCTGAGGAAAGAAAGCAAGAGAGTTTCTATTTAAATTAAGCTCATGAAATACAATAAATATGGATTATCTAGGTGTGGCCATTTTTATTCAGTGATATTACATATAAATCATACCTCATAACCTTCAGGTTCAGGGAAAGGCAAAGATGACCTGTGGCAAAAAGAAAAATACATTTAGCAATTTTGGGATAATAAACACATCAACACAGAGTAGAGGGGAAGCGGTTAATATTACATCTGAATTACGGAGCAGCAGCACATAAGTCTACACACTTACTGAATGAATCCCAAAGCTTTCTGAATTTCTTCCTTACGCTTTTGTCGTTCTGGATCCATAGCTGTAAAACAACACAACCAATATGCAACATTTTAAACGTTTTATTTAAACAAAACGTATGGTGAAACAAAATAAAAATACACTTTGTAGGGACAAAACATACAATTACTGCAAGTGATTTTACAAAGGATAAAATCACAAAATGTTACGTGAAAACATTTCAGTTATATTTGTTTAACATTCTAAGTAACATTTGAAACTGATACTGCAGTATAAAATTTAGTTTCAGTAATTAGTGAGGAAAAGACTAAAGATTCAAACATTTCTAGACATAACTGAGCACAATTAAGTAATTTAACACATAATTATATGCACAAACAGTTGTCTAAGGCCTAAACTTTGAGATAAGCAACTCAGATCACAACCCCGGGCTCGCCTAGGAAAAACACCCACTAAAGCAACTCTCTCCGGACTTGAGAAATCAAAAACAAATACCAGCAATCCTTTAGTCGTACTTGAAACACTGCTCAATATAATTTAGAATATATAACATATTTTACCGACTTAACGCTGAAAGGTAGTGCCAGTAGAAAAACACACTAATGAGAAATTTAACTTGCACAGGCTTCGGGTTAGCATTAGCTTTAATGCTAGCTAGCGCTCGGCTAGCCCGCTAATGCTGTCAACTTCAGGTTTGTTTACACCGATTAATATCAATGATGAGTTTTATGTGCCGACACAAAACAGTTCCAACAAACATCCAAAACATATTCATAGAGTCTAATATTTTATAATTAAATTCTAACGGACCTTTTCTACAAAATATCGTATAAAAATTTCTTTAACATTCTCTTGGTAGCCAATTAGCAAGCTACATTTCGCGAACTGCTGCAGCGAGGACGCGTTTAAAGACTGGGATAAAACACCAGACAATAAAGTAAACACTAGAGCGGTTTGGTTATTAAAATTCGAAATACAAGTTAGGCTTCATTTCAGAAGTGAAGCTAAAACAGAACCGTATAAGGACATTCAACCCACCTAAGACTTAAGATCTTCTCTTCCACCAGGAACTGTTTGTTAAAGCAATAAATCCCTTTAACGATCAGGTAAAAGGTTTGGGTGTTTTATTCCTTCAAAATCATACTTTTAATAATTAAATCGCCTGCCCCAAATCAACGGACAGAACACGTGCGACTTGAGTCGTTTCCCCCAAATAGAGCTCAAGTTGAACTAAAGCGTCCAGGCTGTGAGGTCCTAAAGGCAGAGAGATGGAGACTTTTTTTCTTCTTTTTCAAGAGGAGCATTCAGCCACTAGGGCATGGGTGACTTCCTTTACAATAACTTGGCAACTCTTTCATAAAGCAAACCAAAACTCCATCTTTTTTTTAATTAAAAATAATTGTATTGTCTGCCTGTTAATTTAATTTAGATACAAATGTCAGTCTCTGGTTTGGAGAACAACTGTTTATATGGATATTATAGCATTATTATATATCTATATTAGAATCTTTTTAGCTTTTAAATGATAGGAAAGCATAAATCAACTAAATAAATAATGTATATATTTTTGACTAAATACTAAATAATAACAGTAGCTGAGACTGTATCACATCAACAGAAGGAAATAAATACATAATGATTTTCATAACCATCTATCATAGCTAATAGCTTTAAAAAAAAAGATGTAGTTATTTTCCAAGTATTTGTAATATATATCTTCCCAACATGTTTAGTGATTTAAAATTATTACATCTCCAAAATTATTCATCTTGTGTAGTAAAAATGCAACAGGGCCCACATTAATATATTATTCACAGACTGGAGCTCTTTCAGCATGTCATTAAGTGTTCAAAATTATTTTAGTCTAATGAAAGTGGAAGAGCCCCAAAGTTTTACAAAGCAACTGCACTATATGCCTCTAAATGTCCATTTCTATGTACTTTATAAGTGAACTGAGAAATATCACAGGAATATTATTGTTATTATTATTATTATTATTTGAAATTTTAGAGAGTGTCAGAGGGGCTGCCCTGACATGTATATGTCCAGATTTAACCTTATGCATGGAAGGCTTCTCAAGAAGGGTCAAAGCATAATACTTAATCATAACAGTGGTGCGATTTGTGCCGTTTTCTTTTTCTCTACAATTCACTCCCAAGTTAAAATATGCTTGAAATGTCTCATATTTCAGTTTATTTTTTGGAAATGTACTTTTAGCTTACTTTTAAATTTGAACTTCCTGCGTATTTTCATCAACAGTTACAATTTCCCCAATACCACCTTGGTTTTTCAGTCAACCTGAAGTTGATTTACAAATTCATGAATGTATTGAAAAAGAACAGAATGACATTATTATCAAGAACTATTCAAACAGATATGATATCTTAATAGAAATAATGAATATATTATATAGATTAAGACAAGCTGGAATAATAGTTAATTTTGTTTGGGAACCAGCACATATTGATATACCAGCGAATGAAAATCTGATAAAATGGCTAAAGAGTCACTTAAACTTAACACTCCTACTATTTCAGTTTCAGTAAGTAGGATTGAGGGGAAAAGTATAATTAAAGAAGATTGCAATCAGAAATGGCAAGGAAATTGGAATGACTATAAAACAGGAAGACATTTTTATAATATACAAAACAGGGTAAGACAAAGTAAAATGATACTAAACTTAAGTAGAGAAGATCAGATCATTTTAACAAGACTAAGGATGGGCCATACAAAAGTTAATTATACACTTCCCGTAATAGGAAAACACAGTACAGGATTATGTGAAATATGTCAAGTGAAGGAAATAGTTGGTCATGTGTTGTTAGGTATGAACAGGAAAGGAATGGAAGTCGAGAACTACAGAACATATGATGCAGTGAATTTACAATCGGCAACATATTAAACACAAAACAAGGATCTGGTAAAATAATAAAGACAGTTTTAAAATGCATTAAGAATAGTGGACTTAAGAATAGAATATAAATCTCATAATAGAAAAAATTATGCACTTAATATGCAGACTAATATCACTTCACACTCTAGCACAGGGGGTGGCGGTATGCACCTAAAAAGCTGGTATGCGACCCGCCATTAAAATCCACAGAAGAAGAAGAACTTCCTGCGTATGTGGGAATTTAGCAAGGCTCTCTTTAAATATATTGTCTGGTAACAAATCACTTTGTTTCATTGAATGGGTGAATCAAAATATATTTTTTGTTTCTGATTTGTTCAATTCTGACGGGGATTGTTCTTCTTCTTTCCTTTTCTGATTTTGTGTTTTGAAAGGTGCATCAATCTCACTAAGAGATTTTAATAAGGTGACTAAAAGTATCCCTGTCAGTTTAAAAACTTTGTTTAAAGCGCATTTATGTTATGGCTGTGTAAACAACCATTTTCCTACACTTGCATTTAATGGTGTTTATGTATTAGATAAAAAATGCAATAACTTTTTTATTAGAAATGCTCTTTCTTCAACTCCAGGATGCCCCTCTAAAGCACAATCTAAATGGAGGATTTGTTATCCGAACTCTGAATTAAAAAACTTATGGACCTTTCCTCACAGGCTATTTATCCCAAGTAAAATTAAAGAACTCAGAGAGAGAGAGAGAGAGAGAGAGAGAACTTCCGGCGTTGCTAGGCTCCTCCGGAATTAGCCGTTTGTTTACACATTTCTTCGGCATCATTGAAGCAGCCGTGAGGAGAAACTAAAGCAGCGGTGTAAGTTTTTTGTTTTCGCTGTACATAAATTTATTTAAAAAAAATCTGCTATCTATCGATATATTGAAGAACTAGCTTCTTGCCTGTTACTTGCTTAAAGTAACTATTCCCTCGAAGATAACGGTAGTCACCTTATTATTATTATTTTAGCTTATTACCATATTATCGCCTTATTTGACTGCCATTTTGAAATATAAGAATAATTGCCTTTGGTTTGCTTAACTGGAGGACAACTGTAATTAGCCTGATGTGGACACTGTCTGTCATTATATGTTGGCTACAGTGATTAATGCTGAAAAGACCATTGAAATATGTCATGTTGATGCAGGTTGGAAAGTCTGACTATTCACTCCAAAATGCCCTTGTTTGGCAACATTTTCAGTCCCAAGAAAACACCACCCCGGAAGTCTGCATCCCTTTCTAATTTACATACAGTAAGTACAAGTTTCTGTTAGTAAGGTGCATTTCACATCATATAATATGTATTTAAAGGCCAAATCATTTATTGTTTTTATCAGCTGGATCGGTCAACACGAGAGATTGAATTAGGTCTGGAATATGGATCTCCGGTGATGAATATTGGCGGCCAGAGCTTGAAATTTGAAGATGGCCAGTGGATCTCAGGTATGGCCTCCTACAATAAAAAGACCAATTAAATGTAATGTAGTTAGCCTGTTTGAGGAATGTAATGAATGTCTCTGTCAATCACAGAGTCAGGAGGCAATGTAGCAGGAAAAGAGGTACAGCGACTGAAAAAAAGGAATCTGCAGCTAGAAGAGGAGAATAATCTCCTCAGGCTAAAGATTGAGGTTCTTCTTGATATGGTGAGTGTTGAATGTATGTAATGCTCAAAGCCACAATAGCTTGAAAAATATGTAGGCTAAATCTTTATACAGTTATAAATTTCATTGTGCAAACTGCAAAGTGATTTAACTTTTTTCCCTTAAGCTTTCAGAGTCAACGGCAGAAACACATCTAATACAGAAGGAACTTGAAGATGTGAGGAGTAATTCTAGGAGAAAGAAATGATGAAAGGAAATAAAGGGGATTCAGTCTTTTTTTACTTGTATATACAGTATATGGATTTTACAATGAAACTGGTGTAACTATTTTAAGACGATAATTAATTATCACTAACATATTACACAGTTGTATTTATTTAATTTTTTTTACAGTTTTTTGCCAATTATATGAAAAAAGGTTGATTTTTGTTTTCAGTTTCAATTAATAATTTCAGGTCATCTATATGTTAGCATTTATTTTTGGCATTTTCTGTTTATTTTGCCTTAAAACATCATATTGTGTAGAAAATACCTTCAAAACTACCATTGTCAAAAAAAACATCTGCTGAATTAAACAAAATGTTATCAGGTTACGTAAAATCACCTAAAGCTCACTTATAATGTGTTTAGGATACAATAACTTGTCTTATAGCCAGTTATAACAAATCTTCATTCCTTTGGCCCCAGTAAGTGCTCTTAAATGACAGTCCCAAAACCTTTCTGCATTGTAGATCTGAATGTGCATTCAAATAACAGAAAACAATTACACTCTTTCTTTGGTTCAACAGTAAGATTAGTCAAGAGCTGTAAAGGTTTAAACATGTACATGCTGATTTAAGAGGATTTTCATATGGAGTGTGAGGCACGTATTACACGCCTAGGGTAGCAAACTCTAGATCCGGCATTTTTCTTTTCTTTTTTTTTTTTTCAATAATAATAAATTGAATACATTTTAATTATAATAAATGTTGTACAAATTTTATGCCAGAGTGTTATTTGCAAAATAGAGCATTATTTCCAAGTTTTCCTATTATGTAGTTTGACCTGTCAAAACATTTCATTTAATATTTTGCTGTTAAACTTCATATTTCCAAACCAATAAAAGAACACTTGTTATTGTATCACATTTGTTTCTTTTTAAACAGATCCAAACTACTTTTATCAGTGTAATGATTCTGTGTTTTTTTTTGTTTTTTTTTTATGAAAATGCATTGTGCAAGTTATTGTACTGACAAAACAAGTAAACAACCAAACAAGAATTCTGTAATAGCACTTGTGCTGTCCGGGAATTTCACCTCATTACCTATAAATAAGAGACTTGTAGACAGATTAATTACAGATTATTAGCAGGAAGTACAAGGAAAGGAAGGAGGTGCACCAGCAGTTTATTTAGCAGATTATGCTTTAAAGTAATTCATATGTAACGTTACCGTGCAATGGGGCTTGCTTGATGACAAGACTTAGTGCCTTATGTATCTAGATTATATACATTATGTCTACTAAGAAGGCCAGGTAGATCATACAGCTGCTTGAAGAGATTTTTTGCTATTTCAAAAGCCAGGTAAGACAATTACTTGTGATTCGAGTAACTTAAAAACAATCAAATAATTGTTCTCAAGCTGATTTTTATGTTTATTTATCTACACTCTCAATGCTGGGTTAAAAACAACCATTTCTGGGTTATTTGGCAACCCATCGCTGGTTAAATATTGAACAGAACATGCTGGGTTGTTTTGTTTAAAGGGGTCATATGATGCGATTTCAATTTTTCCTTTCT